CGTTGCCGGAGGCCAGCGCACCACCTGACAAAGCCTGGCAGCCAAGGTGGACGCTCTGCTGAGGCGCAACGAAGGTCTGTTGGCTCGGCGCCCAAACGCTGCGCAGCAGGGCGGCGCAGCAGGCGAAGGCCACCAGCACGGGGAGAGTTCGGCTCTGGGATGCCATGTTTCACGGGGTAAGCACAAAGATGGGCCGCTGGTTGAACTGGCCTGAGTTACAAGAGATCACGATCAGGTGCGCAGCCTATATGTGACATGCTAGTAGCGAGAGAGCAAGCCAGCGGGAGCGAGAGACAACGACAGATCAAGAGAGAGAAAAGAGACCACCAGGAAGCAACTGGACCTGGATCAGTTTCGTCTAGCTCGCGCAGTACTGCGTGTATGAGAGATGTCAGGTGTGATAGGCCTTGCACTGGCAACTGTGCAAATTCAGAGTTCCCGGGATGCTCAGGAGAAGCGCAGGCAATTCAGCATGCAGCACTCTTGTTTTCGTCTCCCACAAGCTCAAAGCCATCTCATGCTTTCTGCTTGGCTTCCTCAAGCACCTGAAGTCCGAAAGCATGTCACAGGTTCCTTAAGCAGGCAGCTTGCGAGGACGCTGCCTTCAGGAGGGCATCGTTGGCTGAAAGCCCAGCGGCCATAAGCTTTGCCACCCTGTCAGGAGTTCTGATAGTTCTGCGTGTCCACTCCCTGCTCTACCTGTTGATGCAGCCGGTGTTGGAAGCAGATTATCCCACGACTAAGGCGCGCACCTTGCTCGCACTGCCGCCTGCGCATCCTCAGCACCTGCTCATGGCATCTTGGGGCAATGCACAGTGATTCAGCTTTTCAGCCCTTCATCTGCAATCTTGCTTCACAAAGTTTCAAAGCTCGAGCACTGGCCTTGGTAGCCAGCGTTTGCGGGAGCGGCAGCCTGGTGTAGAGTTCTCAACATACTCTCGCACTCAAATCCCCTTAGAGTTTGGATGGACGAGTTGAGCGGGTTCATTCCTCCCGCAAGCTTCAGGCTCTAGCCCAGCCGAGCCCATACTTGCTGGAACTGAAACTATGGTGGATACAGGAAAACTTGCAGCACTCCCATGCCGACAAACAACATAATACAGCAGACAAATCTCGTATGACTTCTCAACATGGTCCACGTCACAGAATAGGGTCGTGCAAAATTATGGTCATATGTCCTGCCTCTGGTAGAGGTCAAGATCTCTGTCAAGCAGGAGGCACATGGCGGAATCTGTTTAAGCCATCAAAGTTCTACAAGATTCCTTGCACCAGCAGCCTGTTACTGCGCTTCAGCCACTTCGTACTTGTGAAGCATCAGATGTTTAATCCATGTTGTTGTGCTTTAATTACACATTAATGCGCTCTTAGCAGTCGGGGAGGACCATATCGTCTCTCTGTGCTCTTGACACTCTGTCACGGAAGAAAAACCAGAAACATTGTGGAATCTGAGGCCATGGCCTGTTCAAGGCCCGACTCTGAGCACTCCAACGCCTCCAGGAGGAGCAAGCATGTCATGCTACACTGCTACACCAACAACCATGCAAGCTGTTCCACAACCCTGAGGAAAGGCTCCTGCCTTTTGCTTCGCAGCCTCACTGGACCCGAGCTCCCCCCGCCGCGCACGCCAGGCCGCATCCCCGCTTGTGCGGCCCACCTCGCAATCGCCAGCATGTCAACGGGACATGACTCATCACTGAGCATTTTTGATTCCGACGTTGAAGAGCATCGCAAAACTAGAGTGCTTTCAAGTTTGGCCAACTCTCTCATGAGCCTCCTCGGCAGCATTGGATACCTTCGGCAAGTGTGCCGTTGCTTCAGCAGCAGCCCTTTCCGAGAGAAGAATGCGGCGCGCTGCCGCTACTGGCTCCGGATACCTCGGCCGAAAAGCTGAGCGAACAAAGATGTCACAAGTGAAGCGCGTGGCCATTGGGTAGAGTTGCTGAATCAGAGATCGATCGAGCGCAAACTCGCTGATGGCACTGAGGGCCTTCTTCAACTCCTGGGCTTTATGGAGACATTCACCACAACTCAGTCATGCGGCCCAGTTCACCTGCCTCTTCGGAGCACTGGGTTCGTCGGGGCATCAACTCCTAGCACAGTGTGTGTTGCCAGAAAATGCTTGTTGGCGGCACGGCAAAGTCTCCTCAAGACTCTGTGTGTATCGTTTAGTCACGTCCACCACATGATCACGCGCGAAGCCGATGCAGTAGGTCAGCTTCTTCCCCCAGCCTTTCCTCATTGCTTTCAAGCTGCCAAAGGATCTAATCGGAACCTGACCAAACTAGCACCGAGCAGCTCGTACATCAAAGGCGAATCCAGCGCAGCTTCACACGAGTCCACGTGCACCCACCTGCAAGGCATTTGTAAGGCGGATCCTTGAACGTCATCCAATTCCCGCCTTCTGTTCGATTCAGAGAATATTTCCGTCCACACATGGTCTGTCCAATCGTGGACGTGCCGCGCCTCGTAGCCTCTCGCGGGTCTACCAGACTGCTCTGGAAAAAGCTGGCCCTCGAAGCCAATCCGGAAAGCATCAATGCGATCTGAGTGGCCGAGCGAGCGGCAGACCAGTGTGAAACAATTTGCCCACTCGCCGCAGCGCCCCGTCCGCGTCTGAAGCAATTTTGCTGGATCATTGTAGCCTGCAAGTACGAGGCTCCGGCTGCACGGCCCGCATGTCAAAACCCAAAACTCATGGTACCTGAGGACCTTGCGTGGAAAACGGGTCTGATGACCGCATTTGGAACATGCTGCCACTTCCACCGTATTGGCCAGGAAGTGTTGCTCCTTCAAAAACACACAAAACCCTGTGATGTTTGTATTGCTCCTTTCCACTCCAACAGAAGTCTTTGATGTCTGAAAACGCGTTCAGTCTCTCCTTATGTTTTTTCTCTCCTTACTTTTCTTGTCTCTCACTTGTTTGTCCTCAGGTGTGGGATCTGCTCGGCCGACGGTCTTGGTTTCACTGGAGCCACAATTCTCGCACCTGACACGTGAAGGGCTGGGCTGGAAAGTTTGAACAAAGGCACTGGCGGCTCAAATGCAACTTGGGATTCTGGAGTGCCAGTTTAAAGTACATGGAGGCAGCCAGTTCGATTCTTTCAGTCGCGCCTGGGAGTATTCGTCCAGCTGAAAAACTCATGCTTGAACCACCGTACCAGCCTCGCAAAATCAGAAAATGTATCTAGTCCGACAAGATGTGCGCAGCACGTGATACTATCTGCACAGAGCCTCCTTTTTTCCCGGCATTCTTGCAACGGCTTGGTCTGTACAGGGGCCACGCACTGAGCGTGGTCTTTACAAGATGGAGCAAAATTGGTGGCAAAGCCGATCAACCAGAAATTGCATGTATCGGTAAGCCTGGCTTCCTTGAGGTTTCTGCCAGATCAGCCCTGCACAATTACAAATTTCAGCTCCTTACAATTCTGGTGTTGGAACGTGTTCAGGGTTCACGAACAATGAATTTGGCGGAACAAGGCACACCTTCCCAGGAGAGCCACACCTTTCTGTTGCCTCTCCTTACTTTGAAATGTGCTCTTAAATCCACTGTGCAGGACATGGACCCTTGTCCGAAACCTTTAGGACTTAGATCTTGAGTCCGAAGACCCCAAAGGTGGAGGCACAAACGCCGACGCCCAATGTGAGGGCCATTGCTGAGGCCAGGATGGAGACTCTGCGCACACTGTCCTCGCCTGGATATGAGCTATAGCCTAGTCTAAAATCTTTAAAGGGGGTTGGGCGTATTTTAGGGGTTACCAAGGGCGATACTAGGAGCTTAGACTATAGCTTACTAGCTGCATGGTAACTTGGGGCTCGGGACAGGCATACTCAGGACAAAAGGATTGCTTCTGTGATAGCTTCACAACAAAAACATCCAACATTTTGATTCTGGAATCTGGCCACACTGAACATGCTAGTCTTTCGCCTGTTGACTCCATTTTTGCAGCTCGCCTTTCCTGTCTAGCAATATGTGTGTGATAGCCTTACTTTCTTCCATACGTTCATCTCACTTTTTTTCCAGACTCCTTCCTCTTGCGTGACAACTCACGGCAGAGCCGCCTTTTTTTACTAGACGGCTTTTGAAAATTTCGGGACATGTTTGCACTCTTTGGTTGTTAGATACGGCTCCTCATGCCGTTCAAACATAGCTGCCTTACCCTTATGTGTAGCATGACCCCTCCCTGGGCCTAGGCTTCTGCAAGCTGCTCGAAGTGCGGCAGTGTAGCCTCCCATCGCCAGCATGGAGCCAGCTCCGAAGGAAGCGAGGAAGATGAGCCCGGCTGACTTGGCAAAGGCTAATCTTGCAATGCTTCTTTTCGCCCGAGCATCTGAGGCTTGGACCCTCGTCGGAAGAGTCAGCGCGGGCAAGCACAGCAGAAGCGCATCTGGATGCCTAGTGCGGACAGAACACTGTCATCATCTTGCCAGCTCAAGTTTCTGGATACTATAAGCCCAGGTGCATTCCAGATAACAGGCCTGTTGCAAAGGTCTTCCAACTGAAGCTGGCGTGCGCGTTCTCCTGGGCATCTTGCTCTTCATCCCATTCCTCGTCAGCACAAATGCTGATCCATGCTCCATCTGTTCATCTATTGGCCAGACGGACAGGCAGCGCCCAGTTATCATTTTGCGCGCTATCCAGGTGGTAAATAGAGATGTCACTTCAGCTGCCAAAGCAACACGGCAGGAATCCTGTCACTCATCCAATCTGCCCAACTGCAACCTCAAGAGTCGCAAGAATGCCTTGCTGCAAACAAGCATCGCGTGCTTCCTTGAGGCCCAATCCCCCAATGATCCTGCGGAAAGCAAGGATGCTTCCTCTGTTGGATGGTCAAAGGCGTGACATGTCCCTACAAATCTCGCCAGTCATGAGCACAATGCCGACGGCCAAGGTGGCCAGCTGCTCTGCCAGTCCCCCCAGCTGCAGGCCCACCATTCTGAACAGAGGGCTCCGGCTGAGTAGGAGAAGGCCTGTCCTCAAATGCTCCAAACAGAAAACCCCCATCAAACAGAATTCACTCATCTGCTTTCAAGTCTCCCCAGAAGCACCTGTCCGGCCACATGGCCTGAACCCCAGAACACTCCTGAAAGGCACATATCTACATGTTTGCACAATGCTTGCTCAGCACTGATTTCTGCGTCTTCCCTTTTGTGCCTGTCCGAAAGGCTGCTCCCGGCCCCTTGCGAGCCCTGAGGGCTAGGGGCGCCAGAGCCGCTAGATGGTCGGGGCCCGACAACGTGTGAAGTGCCCCTGCCCCTGCAACAGGTGCACAGTACAGCCCAGCAGCACTTCCGTCGTTGCACCATCGTTGCACTGGCCTGCTCCACAGCCGGCCGCCAGCCATGGTGACCCTGCTGCGACAGACTTCAGCGACAGCAGCGAGCCGAAGGAAGCAGCCCAGGATTCCAGGTGCCCTGGTCAATGGGCGCAGCTCTCAGAGCGCAGACCTCCTACGTGCCCCGACTGCGTGCAACCTTTGACATCAGATGTGGATGTGAGCCACGCCTGTGGTCACCTGAGCTGCACTTGAGACGTCTGAAGATTGAATGATTGACATTTCTCTAGTAATGGATTGGTTGACTGGCGATCCGCTGGCAAGTTGGTTGGAGCTGACTGATATGACTGATTAATTGCTTCAGTGACTGGTCATGGATTGGTTGATTGATTGATGGGTTGACTGATTGGTCTTTAGTTTAGACAGTCGGCCCATCGGTTGTTTGACCGTTGTCATCACTCCTTCACTGCTTGCAGCAAAGTGGCCCGCAGCACCCAAAGACCTGCAGCCATGTGGGAACAAACAAACAGCTCCGAACACTGAAGGCGCTTGTGAGTGTCCTTGAGGATCCAAATCCATTCCAAAACAAAGGCGTTTGCTTGTTGCAACCCCTGGCCACACCGACTCAAGCAACTCCCTGCCAATCCTTCTGAAGTGAGGTGAAGTGAGGTCAAGTGAGGTGATTACGGGGAGAAACTCGCCCCCGTGGCCTCCTGCAACTAGGACGGTGAAAGCTGCGACACTCCGCAGCCTGCACAGTTCTCAAGCAAGCTTACACGCTTGACGAACTCTAATTTCTACTGCTACACTGAGGTTCAAAAAATTAACAGAGAAAACCTCCATAGTACTCACGGCCGCAACCGAAACAATCTGTAAGAATGTCTACAAGCACGGCACTGCAGCAGGTGCCGCTGCAGCAGCGGCTGAAAGTGCTAGAGCAGGAACAAGAGCAGCAGTATCACAAGCATCAACAAAGACGATAGTACTGAAAGAATATCAAGCATGACCCATAGACCTGGGGCAAGCCAACTGGGAGCAACACACCTGTCGAACGACCTCCCAATCGGGACATGGCAAGGTGGAGCGTGGCAAGATGAAGCAGGCACCCTTGATCACGCCCTCCAAGCGAGTATTCGGACGTGGACGTGAAAGGTTAACATGCCCTTGCGTAAGGATGTCCCTCTAACTTCACGGCTGATGCTGAAATGCCACCGATCTGCAGATATAAGACTCTTTCGGAATGCCTCCTCAATTCCTATACAAGACTTCTCAGACCCGACATACGCGCATTGTGACCCTTACCTATTCCCCCCAAAGGCTTCCGTTATCTGACATTACTTGAGCTGGCCTGCTGTCACAGAGGGAAGCTTGCTCAGAATGGTCATAATCAAAGATGACAAGCTCTTGCCTGATCGCAATTTGCCAGAACATGCACATGCTGAATCTATCATAATCTATCATGTCGATCATGTGTAACATGTGCTATAATGTACATGTATACACTGATCCTTTAATATGTCTTAGTAAACTCAGATAAGCCTTAATTGTCTTTTTGAAAATACAAACAACTTCTTTATTTCCTAGTACAATTACGAGGAGCTGTAGTAAAGTTGAGTAAGAAAAGAGTACCTACACCCTTTATTTTAAATCAAGAGGAGTTCTTATGTTTTTGATGAACTGATAGGAACTAGTACATGTTCAATCAAATTGACAGGAGCTCGTACAATCGTTGCTTAATCTAACAGGAAGTCTGTTCGGGACTCTATGAGGAATTTTATCGGGGGTCCTATTGAGAAATATATTTGGAGCTTTATGAGAATTGAGAGGAGCTCTTATGTTTCAGAATTCCTTTAAACATTGTATTCAAGTGTACTGAACTGCTTCTCATTGCATTCAATAAGAGCTCTTTGATTCCTTGTTAAGAATGAGCACGGCCCTCATGTCTGAGGAAATGAGAAGACCTAGTAGACATTCTAGAAGGGCCGTCCCATGAAGAATTCCATTCTGGATTCTTGTAAGGGAGCTCTTCAGTTTCTAGTCTTACATTCAAGGAGATTTCGAGCCCCCATACTTATGACCCATAGTAGAGGAGCTCTTATGGTTCGTATTGATTCTTTTCTGGAGCTCTGTCAAAGTCAGAAGGAAGTCCTTCTCGATAGAAGAAACAGGAGTTTGCATATGCACTTGTAATCCTTGCTAAAATTAAGAGGAGCTCTAATATTTCTTACCAAACTCAGCAGGAATTGTCTTACAGAGGATTTTGTGAAAAATTCCAGCCAGAAATTCCATTCGGAATTCAATCCGGAAGTCTACTCGAGATCATTTTTGGCATACTTATAGGGGATTCTGGGATTCTATTCAGAATTCTACTACGAGTCTTACTAGGAAGTCTTTTGCTGGCTTTGGTAGGCATTCTACGTGGTATCGTTTTAAGAATCTTGCTAGGAATTTGCTCTTTTCTGTCTACTTGAAATTCAGAAGAGCTCTCATATGTCTTGTTCAAGTCTGGAGCAGCTCTCTGATTTGTCAAATGAAAAACCTATCTCATATCATATGTCTAAATTCTTAATATAACTGAGCGGAGTGCTGATATTTCTTCTCATAATCAAGGGGAGCTAGCACATTTCTTATTAACATGGAGAGGCGCTCTTACATCTCGCATCAAAATCAAGAGTGGCTCTTATGTCTCTTACCAAACTTAATAGGAATTCAGAACAGGACACATTGCAGGCTCATTTTGACACGCCATGCTACGGCAGTAGTAGACAGCTACTAGGGATTCTTTGAGGACTTCCAGTACAGCTTCTATTGTCTCTTATGAAATTTAAAAGGATCTCATGAGTTTTTGAATTGTCAGGAGCTCTTGTATTCCTTCCTTTTAGATTAAGAGGAGCTCTTGTGTTTGGATTGTCATAAATTAAAAGGAGCTCTCACATTTCCTATCAAAAGAAACAGGTTTCCTCATACGTCTTTATGGAATTAAGAGAGGATCATCTGTTTCTTCTTACATTCAGAGGACCCCTAGAGAAATCATCCAAACGGATTCCAGCTCACCCATTTTCATTAATCTAATCGGTGGGCCTTTGAAAACCAGATAAAGCAACGAAACCAATCAAATAAGGGGCCCACTATTGATTTTATCTGATTGATTGAATTGGCGGGCCTGTACACACCACTGAAATACATCAAAACAATTAACTCGACATTCAAGTGATCTGATAACTTAAGCAGTTAACAATCTGGAATGGAAATTCTCCGAACGGAATGCCCGGGTCCATGAAATTGATCTTATGATTCAAGTGGCGGGCCTTTAACAACCAATCAGATGAATGAAACCCATTTAATGCCTTTAATGTGCAATTCATTTAATTGATTTAGCGTGGTAGCAATCGACAAATTTAATTAACTCGATTCTTTCACCGTCCATTTAGACTCCAACAAAACTATCTATCATCATTACGTAAAATTGTGAGAATACAAGGCATCCTGCTGAATGCAAGCTCCCGAAAGCATACTCTTCCTAGGCGATTCCAGCAGAACAAACTCGCGTGCGTTGCAAATGATTTCTGGCCAGCCTCGCAAAATCATGCAATCGCGTCCTCACCGAGGATCGCGAACTCGATCGAATTCCAGCGAACTGCCTGATCTTGCCCGACAAATTTGACTTCAACAGTTCGTGATCAGATCCACAATTAGAATGAAGATGGAGCTAACTGAGCTAACAAGCTTAAGCAAAAGACTGCATGCGACTACAGTACAGTATCCAAACCGGCCACATGTCACTTCCAACTTCTATACAACTCTGGCTCAGTCTAACACAACAAAAGACCATAAAAAGACCGTAAAGGTTGGAAGGCTTCTGAGACACTTCTTTTTTGACTTGCTAGCTGGAAATTAATCATGAAGAGATGAATCTCCACACGGGGCTTACACTCCACTGATGAGGCCTCAGCATCCAGCCATCCTCTGGCACAGAAGCAAATGCAGTTGCGCCGATGGCGCCGCTAATTGCCAACGCTAACGTGGCAAACGCTGCCCTGGATCCGCGGCGCTGCATTGCCAAAGGTTCTTGTTGCTACAATCAGGAACCGGAAAACACCCAAAACACAATGCCCAACTAACTGATTTCGCTGTTTTTGCAGTCTATGCCCTTTCGCAGAATACTGTTGGAAGCATCCAACGCTTGAAGCACGCGGAAGCCCTGCAGACTCACCGCTGCAAGGGGCTGCGGTCGGCAAGAGCTTCAACATAGATTTAGTTTGCCTCCCGCATGCCCAAGTCACTGCCAGGGTTGTTGGAGCGAAGGCAACAGGATGGCAAGTCAAGCTGAAAGTGGCCAGGAAAGAATCGCTTGGAGCCCGCTCGTGACTGCAAGCTGTGCCAGATTTGCGAGCGGTCTTCACTTGGTCCCAGGCATCCTCATGAATGCAATCTCATAGCCTTCCCATACCAGAAGGGTTGCCGGGAGCTCTGAATAGATTTGCCTGAGTCCCCCCGCCACCAGATGAATCAAGGGAAGAGTCGAGGCCACAGACTGGGATCTCGTCAAGGGCCTTCCGTCCAAAGGAGCAGACAACTGTAGCAAGTGCAGAAGTAGTATTACCACTTCTGTGATCCGTCGTCCTTTACAATCTTGCACGCGAAAGCTCATCTACACAATCTCACTGCCAGCCCCCACCAAAAAGAAATACCCCAGGCAATCTGCAAAAAGTGGCTGCCTGGCTCTGGAGCTGCTTCTTTTCGTAGCCCTGCACGGTGCTCAGAGATGCAACCTGGCAGGGGGCATTGCACTTAGAAACAATCACCTCTGATTCATTGGGCCTGTTTCCGTGTTTTAGGGCAACGTCTTGCATTTCTGGTGATATTGCGAATCGCTAATTGCTGCGCATCTGTTTGTCAGCTTGTAGGGTTTCCTCGCAGAATCTTTCTATCACGCCACCATGTAAAGCCTATGTCATCCTTAGACAAATAGTCAATGTACCCGTCGAACCTTAGGACAGCTCAGGTAGATCGACTTGCTATGGAGCGAAGCATGGGATGCTAAACCTCGGATACAACACCAGCCCTGCAAAAACTATGCACTTGCTTGTAAGACCACAGGCCCTTTCTGCATTCTTTACAAAGAGCAACTGGTATAGTGGTTCAAAATGCGCCAGCAACTCTCACAGTGGGACTCAACGAAAGCACAATGTATGGCAATGTAGTCACAGCCGCAACTTTGACAGGCTACTTTCACGTTGTGCAGTTACGGTGTGCGCAGCATTAGACGAATCTGGCCTTCTGGGCAAGCAAGCAGCTCCAACTCAAAGTAAGATTACAGGCATGACATGATTACTGCCCATGAACTATTCATTATATGCTTTGCCAAGCGTAGAAGCCAGCAATACAATGTTGATCATGCACAGCTCCGGCGTGTGGGCTCCTATCAGATTGGCTGCCCTCGATATCATGTGATCCCTGCCCTACACAACAAAACTTCTGAAAAGATGGTGCAGACCAACACTCCCAAGTACACAGAACCTTTATTTGAAACGCAGCACAGGGTGGAACTGGCCTGGTGTTGAAGCTTTGGAGGAAGTGAACTAAGCTTTGCCTGCAACATGGCCTTGGTTGCAATCGTCTTCCTTTGTTTCTCCTGTTGCAGACTCAATTGGGCTCCCGGCAAGGTGCTGCTCCTCCAACATCCTATCTGTCTGCACCTGCGAGAGTTGCTTTGAAAAAGAAATCTACGCGCACATCTGTGAACGCACGTATTACGCACATCAAAAGAGCACTGTGCTCCAGCTGACCTCCGGAGTGGAGAACTCGAAGGGATCTCCAACACTGAAGTTTCCCAAGGCAACCTTGCAGAAGATGCTTGTGGCAGTTCTCCCGGACACGGCCCTCACACGGCCCAGCAGCAATGACCGGAGGCTTGTCTGGATCTGCCGATGCCTGCGGGCAAGCAGCCAAAGAGAGAGGCTTAGGAAGCAGAGGATAGAGGTGCAAATATCAACACCCTTCCCGCTCCAGAAGCACATCTGCGCGAAGTGAACAATGGTTCCTGTGACCTAGGCAGTCAAAATGCACTCAAGTCAGCAGAGCAAAATCCGAAGTTAGCTCCTGCTTATGCACCGCGTTGCTTGTGTCGGCTGACTCTGAGGCTGTCTGACACTCTGAGGCAACAGCTCACAGGCATTATTCTCACAAAACGTGCGAGCTGCGATCCTCGGCCAAGATTTACAGCCAGCTGCTCCGACATTGAAAGGTCAAGGGGACACTTCTTGTGCATGTTGCATGCTGGGCAAACTGATGAAATCATTGGCAAGTCTTGGCAGCACACCATTGTCGAAGACGGCGCGAACGGGATTTGCAAAGCTGGGCCTAGGATCAGAAAACATCGCAGACCACGAAACACATTGACAGGCCCATGGCCCATCAAACTCCCGGCCATCATCAGCAGAAGTCCACGGGCCATCCTGATAGAACTTGCTACAAGAACCAACCCCGAGATCAAATCAGTCCAGTCCGAGCATCTTCGGAATCTGCCAGTTCAACTCGGAACCTTGAAGACGTGAAGAAGGTACCCGCAGCCAAGCAAGGACAAACAGCACTTTGCCAGCCTGGTGACCCATTGTCCACAGTCTGATCCTGGATTGGACAGTCAGCAGGCCAACATATTGCAGAACGTCACTCACTGCAATGGCATTGCCTTAACTAGAGTATCTGAGGCCAACGCGTGCGGCCAGCATCACGCCAGCCACGTTCCCGACCTCTCCCAGATCCAGCTGATACCACGGGGCAGTGTCCTCCTTCTTGGCGCACCATGCGCTACTAGAGTCCAAAGTTCCTCGGTGCAAGGCTCCATACTTTCTGCAAGTTGCTTGAATTACAACACTCAAAAACTTAGCTGAGCCGAGCTTCCACTGTGATGCTTTTGGCCAGGCTGGTCATCCCCAAAGCTTGATGATGCCTTCCGGGCATTCTGCGGCACCTGCCAGAGGTTGTTTGTCAGTTAGTCTCCAGCCCCAGATCCCAGGCATGGCAGGGTTTAAGCCCCGTGAAGCTTCACTTGGAATTTGCGGGCTATGACTTCTTCCGGCCCTGCGCAACTCCTTGCCAACTTGTCAAATGCTCACATCTTGCTGTAAGTAAACTACGTCGGACTGAAAAGTTTTCGGGATTTTTTTTACGTTAGCAATCCCCTGAACTTGCTCCACAACGGCCAGTCAACAGCCAGCCTGTCAGGGGTTCAGTCTGGACACTTTACTCCCATCACATTGCCCTCACAAACATCTTAGCTGAACTTTCAAAATCCCGGACATTCCAAGGCAAGATTCTGCAAAGCTTCATGGCCTTGGCCAGCGGAAGACCGGAGTGCTTTTGGGCAGCCAGGCCCCTTGCGAGGGCCCGCGGCAGCGGAACCGACTCGTCCAGCTGGCCTCCGATTCTAATGAGCCCTAAGATGTACATGTCACAAATGCAGCAGCAATCGCAAAGCCGTGGTCATGGTGGCGACAATATGGCGGATGAGGAGGAGTTGCAGTCGGAGCAGTAGCAGGAAAATGGATGGCGTCGCCTCTTACGCTTTGGGCATGGGTGCTCTGGCGGCCGCATACTCTCAGGGATGCACTTGCGGCTTGGGCATGGATGCTCTGGTAAACCTGCACACCTGGACATGGGCATTGTCCACGACGAATATGGCTGCGTACGGCAGTCGCAGCAGTACGAGTACTCATACTGGTACCACAAACACTAGTACTACGTAGTCCTGGTAATCGTATAATAGCAATAATATAATAATACCAGTACTAGTGCTAATACTAGCACCATTAGCCACCCCTCCCCTACCAACTGGTAAGAGTGTTTATTTTTTTGTTGTCTGGTCTTTTTTGTTGTTTGGGCTTTTCGGGTGTTATTTTTTTTGCTGTTTG